GAAAAATGCCAAATATCGGCCGATATATCAGCATTGGCGATATATCGGTCGACCACTATGTGTGACGGGCGGCCCACTCTTCTGTGGCAGGTTTTGGCCGTAGAGATGTGGTGGACTACCTCCTTCAGCACGGAGCAAACGTGCACGCTCGTGATGATGGTGGCCTCATCTCGCTCCACAACGCCTGCTCGTTTGGTCACGCTGAAGCCGTCAACCTGCTCCTGCAACACGGGGCCGATGCCAACTCCAGAGACAACTGGAATTACACCCCGCTGCACGAGGCTGCCATCAAGGGCAAGATCGACGTCTGCATTGGTAAAGCCTCCTAGTGATAAAAGTTAACAGAATACATTCAACTTGTTTTGGTGAAAAAAATCTCATTTGCATGTTGAATGTATAATGCAGCTGTTTAAATCATGTTTGTCATTTGTAGTTTTGCTGCAACATGGTGCTGAGCCAACGATCAGAAACACTGATGGAAGGACAGCGCTTGACCTGGCTGAGCCCTCCACCAAAGCTGTACTGACCGGTGAGTGGGCTTTCAAACCTCAGACTTGGGTACACACTTGCTTTTCTGGTAGAGTTGGGAATCAGGATCCAGTTCTTATCCAGAACTAGTCTGCGGTCCAATTGAAGATAAAGAAAGAGAAAACTGTTGTGAAATGATAGAAGGACAGTAAATGAACAAAAATGTGCTTCATTTTCATCATGAGCTGCACACACATGCAGTGCGAACAGTGTGGTGCGAAGAAATTAGTCCTTTGAATGGATTATTTTTAGCAAATTGCTCCAAAAGACTCACCAAACCTATTTTTAAGTCTTTTGGACCAACTCGTTAGAAATACTTGACGTGTAAAAAAAAGTATAGTGTAAAAGTGATCATGTCTGCACACTGCACAAAAAGATATCCACCGGTTACATCGCATTAGAGTAGTGAATAACACATTTCTATGTACAAAAGGCATCAGAAATATGGTGGAGATCACAAAGTGAGCTGATGCAGGAAAAATACGCGACCCAAGTTGTCCTTAACATGAGAATGTGTCATATTAAGTGCTTCAAACTGAATAGCATATAGTTTAACGCAGCTTGCCAGATGCAATTTCATGCGATTGAGAGGTGTTTTCCTCAGCCTAAAATGTACATTTCATGCCTGTATCCTTATCTGTAAAATTGTAAAAATCACAAGATCATTTCCAATGTGTATTAGAGCTTGTCCTGACAGCGAGCGACTCTGTCAAAGTTCACCGACTTCAGCGATCAAGCACACTAAAATACTACATTTTTCTAGAATATTTGTTTTTAGTAATTGATGTGTAAAATGTTAAACTTAGATGCAGTGGTGTTTTTATAGAGCAGTAACAGTAAAATGACTATTGTGATATAATTACTACGTTCAAATGAGTGAATGTGTGTTCATCCTGCCTTGTAATAAGTCACTTTTTAGTCTGTACTTTTGTACTTTTATTATCTTTTTATTTAGCTTTAACATCTGTCTTAAAAAATAGTAATTAATCAGTTGTTTTGTGCTTTATAATGTTATATTAACCATTTTTACACATAATTTATAGCATAGCCTATATAGATATGTTCAGTTTATTTTTTCATTACCTTCCACATTGTTTGGAGGACAACATTGGGCAGCATGTGGATAAATAATGGATTAAATTAATTAAAATCTTAATTAAAATGAATATTTTTTTATTTAATCATTTTGGGATTATTTGAGACCCTGCAGCACAAAAGCAGTGTTAAGTCGCTGGGGTATATTTGTAGCAATAGCCAACAATACATTGTATGGGTCAAATTATTGATTTTTCTTTTATGCCAAAAATCATTAGGATATTAAGTAAACATCATGTTCCATGAAGATATTTTGTAAATTTCCTACTGTAAATATATCAGAACTTAATCTTTGATTAGTAATATGCATTGCTAAGAACTTCATTTGGACAACTTTAAAGGCGATTTTCTCAGTATTTAGATTGTTTTGCACCCTCAGATTACAGATTTTCAAATAGTTGTATGAAATATATCAAATTAATTTTTTTAAAATGACCTTTATGACTGGTTTTGTGGTCCAGGGTCACATTTTCCTCCGATTATTTAAATAACCAAATAAATAATCAGATCAAAATAAAACACTTCTTTTAGAAACACTTGATTTTGATTCCCATAATTCCCATTTCCTATGCTCTATTTGTTTATAAGGCTAGTAATTGGCAATTTACTGGTGACTTTGCTTTCATTTCAGGCTCAAATGAGATTTCCGTTTATGTTAATATACTTCATTCTTTCTTAAATCTAGGTGACTATAGAAAAGATGAACTCCTCGAGAGCGCACGGTAATAATAATTTAAGCTCAAAATTGTTCAGGAGACCTGAGGAGAGATGAATATTGCTGAGCTAAATTGCTGTCGTGACTCGCATTGTTCCTTTAATTGACTTGGTGCTCAATGCTTTTATACAGAAGTGGAAATGAAGAAAAACTGATGAGCCTCCTCACACCATTAAATGTGAACTGTCACGCTAGTGATGGAAGGAAGGTGAGTTATTGAATTCTCTATGCTAATGTCATCTCCATATCTGTTTGACAGTGTGATTGTTAATGTATAACCATATTCAAATGTTCTCAACGTTGCTGAGCCACTCACATAAGACACATAATGTAGCCAGGCATTTCATGTGTAATTGTTCCAGGTTTGAATAAATAGTTTGCATATGTGTTTGTGAATGGATTGCTTGTTGGTTTCAGTCCACGCCTCTGCATCTGGCCGCGGGTTATAATCGTGTGAAGACAGTGCAGCTGTTGTTGCAGCATGGAGCCGACGTGCACGCTAAAGACAAAGGGTACGATGAGTGTCTCCAGTGTGACTTGAAGTGCTGTACAAGTTAAGCTCTATTCTTTCACTTAGCACAGAAATACAGTTTGTAAAAAATCGAATAAAACTTGCATTTTCAGTCTTTTTTGAATGCTTGTGTGTGTATTGTGCAATGTTGCGGGGCTTAACAACCTTACTACAGATGCATCAGTACCATAATGCTTTATCAGCTGCTTTTAATTTGATCAGTATTGGTGAATATTGGATTAAAAAGAAATCAATTTGTAATTGATTTTTAATCTGATTAAATGATTAATGGAATAAATATACAGACAGATTCATTGATTGTCAGTGGTTCCCAAAAAGTGGTTATCAAAAAGTTCCAGCCCATTTTTATTTTTCATGCAGTACATTATAATGTTGTTGCTTGTAGCGTTTAATATGATTGATTTTTAGTTTTTAGTGTTTCATAATTAATTTATTTAAACATAATAATAATACTGGCCATGTTCGTATTTCACCCAAAAAATGGAAATTTGCTGAAAATGTATTCACCCTCAGGCCAGCCAAGACGTAGATGAGTTTGTTTCTTCATCAGAACAGATTTGGAGAAATGTAGCATTCCATCACTTGCTCACCAATGGATCCTCTGCAGTGAATGGGTGCCGTCAGAATTCGCTGATAAATACATCACCATAATCCGCAAGCAATCTGCACGAATCCAGTTCATCGATTAGCGTCTTAAGAAGTGAAAAACTTCATATGAAACAAATCCAACATTAAAATATTTTTAACTTCATGCGTACAGTATTTTATCCGGAAGCCACCATTTTTTGTTTCTTACAAACACAATTTGTTTCTTACAAACACACAGCTTTTCACTTCACAAGATGTTAACTCATGGACTGGAGTGGTGTGGATTTCTTGTGGATTATTGTTGTTTTTATCAGCTGTTTGGCTCTCATTCTGACGGCACCCATTCACTGCAGAGATCCATTTGTGAGCAAGTGATGTAATGCCAAATTTCTCCAAATCTGTTCTGATGACGAAACAAACTCACCTACATCTTGAATGGCCTGAGTGTGAGTAAATTTTCAGCAAATGGTAATTTTTGGAAGAACTATTCCTTTATTATCAGTGCATAAATTAAAAATGTATGTAACTTTGTACAGATGAGGTTAGTATTTAATTTGATTACACTAGTCTCATGTTAACATGTATAATTCTGGCTATACTTTCAAAACCATTTGTATTATCCCCTTGACTTAAAGTTATTTACTTAACTTTGAACCCAAACATTCATATAACGGCAGTGTAGTCAAAAGTTGTACTCACAAAACATGTGTATTAAATTTGGTCTTGTGTTAACAGTGATCTTGTGCCTCTTCATAATGCCTGTTCATACGGTCACTATGAGGTAGCTGAGTTGCTTGTAAAGGTAGGTCCATTTTATGTTATTCACACTTTTCTTTCTTGTCTGCTCGTCTTGTTCTGAATTTGTGATAACTCCACTCCATCTGTTAATTTTTACACAGCATGGTGCTTGTGTCAATGCTATGGACCTGTGGCAGTTCACACCTTTACACGAGGCAGTCTCAAAAAACAGAGTGGAGGTCTGTTCGCTCCTGCTCAGCTACGGTGCTGACCCCACCTTCCTCAACTGCCACAACAAGAGCGCCATCGATCTGGCCCCGACCGCCCTGCTGAAAGAGCACCTGGCGTGTAAGCGTGTGACTGCTACAAAGACCAGCTCTCATTTTGTCTGGCTCGTCATTGACTGACGGGGTGCCGCTCTTTGTTGCAGATGAGTTCAGAGGTCATGCTTTGCTGCAGGCGGCACGTGAGGCGGACATGGCCCGCTTTAAAAAACACCTCTCCCTTGAGACCATCAACTTCAAACACCCTCTAACCCAAGAAACAGCTCTAGTAAGGACTGCGTTCTCTTTTTTATTATGTTATATTTTTATTATTTAATAAAAAACATCATTATTTAATAAATACGCTACATATAATTAATAATGATTGGAAGTCTCACTAAGTTTGCATTTATTTATTCAAACAGTAATATTGTGAAATATTATTCCAATTTAAAATAAGCGTTTTCTGTTTGAATATATTTTAATATTTTTTTGAATTTGCTGAATGTTCGACAGTGTTTATGCGAGTTTTTCAAATCTAGGTAATCGAATACGGTTTTAATGATAATTCAGAATATTAAAACCATCTGAACTTTCATCTTGGTTTATTGTCATACTGTAACAGTTTCATCCCTGTTTGTATTTGTGAGCTTGGAGACCCCTTTAGCGTCACGCGGGGTTGGGAACCACTGATTTAAAGGCTCAAAACATTAATTGTAAAAAGCATATTTACAGCTCTACAATCCTATTTGATGAGCCACGTTTCAAGGCGTTAAAAAAAAAGATATCTGCACACCTGTGAATACTACAACTGAACGCAGAGCGTCCAAAGATCATTTTTGGTTATGGTTTTATTGGACTTGAATAGGAAGTGAATAAAAGAGACTTCTGTGATTGTCTTTGATAGCATTGTGTCTCCACGTCGCCCTATCCCAAGAGGAAACAGATCTGTGAATTGCTGCTCCGGAAAGGCGCCAACGTCAATGAGAAGAATAAAGAGTGAGTCAGTCAGTAACGATGTTCAAAGGATTTATTTAACACATGAATTTGTATCATGTGCAGTAATGACTTCTGGATCTCTATCTTTCACACAGCTTCCTCACACCTCTGCGTCTTGCCGCTGAGAAGTCCCACAATGACATCATCGAGGTGTTGGTGAAACACGAGGCGAAGGTAAGTGAGATTTTTCACAGCTGCAGTAAAACGTACTCAATTACACATAGGCATCACAGATGTTGTCACATCACCTTCATTTTGTCTGCCTCTAGTTAGGTCATCAGGAATGAAAATACATAAATCTGTGAGTGAACATGAAATTAAAATTAATACGTGTTCCATAAGTACATAATCCAGTGACTTCCCAAGTCCCGTCCTTCATGTTTTGTCTTGTCGAATATCCACCCTGGTAAAAAAGTGATGTTTAAAATACATTTATTTCATACTAAGTATAGTTCAAATCTATTAATGAATTTACTGACATATCGCTTGAGACTTACTAATATAAAAATGATAATGAAACTTTATTTGGAGTACTATTTATGCAAAACACACATTTCTTAATATGTGTTTTAATGTCACTATTGATGAGGATTGTATAATCTTTGAATAATAGCGGTCTTTAAATGCAAAAAGTTTAAAGTGTACCTTAGAATACTTGCAATAGTTGCACTTTAGCACAATCAAATATACTTCAGTATATCTATACTTCAAGACTTTTAAGTATACCAGTTTAGTATACCAAAAGTACAATTGCAGGGTATTTTTATGAAATACATACATATGTAAATGTATTTAGCAAATTAATTTGTATTATGTGCATGAAATAAATGTATTTCGAATACATTTTAATATATTTATTTTTCACTAGAACAGTGTCTCTCGGAAACGCATTAAAAACGTATTTTGACGTGTCCCTCAGTTTATAGAAACAAACAAAAGTGATGTTGATAGTAATGGACTGGTACTTTGCAAAAAATGTTTGTCATTTTAACAGTAAAGAACTGTAAAAATGCTACAGTAAAATTGATTAACAGTACGTTACTTCTATAAGTAATAAGTCATGTAATGTTACAGTAAAATACTGCTAAATGTAGCCTACAGTTTTTGGAAGTGAAAAAATATCTTACACTACACATTTGATGTTTTTTCCATTTAAATAACTATGTTTCTCAGTTCTTATCAGTTATGTACATTAGGGTTTTATGTTCATCTTATGTTGATAAATGAATGCTTTTCATGAATGTTTATTGCATGTGGCTTTCTCATTGCTACCTGTGATTTTATGGTGGTTCTCAGCGTAAAGGTACAAAAGTGATTTTAGTACTTCAGTTGGTTGGTATATTAACATTATATAGGTTAATAAAATATACACTGTTTTACTGAAAATGCAAGTTAAATCCGTAAAACTTTAAATGTTGCTGCCGTATTTTTTACTGTAAAGTTCTGGCATCCACAGCTGCTGATTTGTACTGTAAATATTTGCAGATTTTTCCTGTCAGCGTGTTGTTGTTTTGTGCAGGTGGATGCAGTAGATAACCTGGGTCAGACGGCGCTGCACTGCGCGGCTCACTGCGGCCATCTGCAGACCTGTCGGATGCTCCTGAGTGCTGGAGGTGACCCGCTCATCACCTCCCTACAGGGCTCGTCACCCTCCCAGCTCGCCAATGAAAGCATTCAGGAGATACTGCAAGGTTTACTTCAGATTCACAATTTCCTCACCCTCATGTGTCCTTCTAAACCTGTATGACTTTCTTCTTTGAAATTAAAAAAATTTAAAATCCCCAAATTTAAGACCTCCTAAAATAATAAGACATTTGTTATACCATTAAAATATGTAAGACTTGTTATGATCTTGAATTCCATACAACTGAATTGTTTTGATCTTCAGGGGCTTTAATTTCAAGATGCTCCTTAATACATTTTACATTTCGCCCATCTATTTCTAGTCAAAGATGTGAGTGAAACACTCACACTGTTGAGCCCTGTAAAGTGCCAAAGTGTCATGCTTGCAGTTATAGAAAATATTTTTGGATTCCTAGAGGGAGCATGCACAGGCAACTCCGATACAGACAGGCAGCTGTTAGAAGCCTCCAAATCAGGAGATCTGGAAGTCGTAAAGGTAAGGACAAAAAATCCCCAAATTTAAGACCTCCTAAAATAATAAGACATTTGTTATACCATTAAAATATGTAAGACTTGTTATGATCTTGAATTCCATACAACTGAATTTTTTTGATCTTCAGGGGCTTTAATTTCAAGATGCTCCTTAATACATTTTACATTTCGCCCATCTATTTCTAGTCAAAGATGTGATTGAAACACTCACACTGTTGAGCCCTGTAAAGTGCCAAAGTGTCATGCTTGCATGTTTTTTGATTCCTAGAGGGAGCATGCACAGGCAACTCCGATACAGACAGGCAGCTGTTAGAAGCCTCCAAATCAGGAGATCTGGAAGTCGTAAAGGTAAGGACTAAAAATACACCAAAAAGTGTGATGTTTTTTTTCTCCCATGTAGTTGTGAAATCATTCTGAAGTTGATTATACCAGATTCCCATGTTAGAGCTGACATTGTTCTTCACCTTTCCATGTAGAAGCTCTGTACTCTTCAGAACGTGAACTGTAGAGACGTTGAGGGAAGGCAGTCCACACCTCTGCACTTCGCTGCGGGATACAACCGTGTGGCTGTGGTGGAGTATCTGCTGCAGCACGGAGCCGATGTACATGCTAAAGACAAGGGGTGAGATGTCACAAGACTAGAGATCCAAAAGTAGAGTCAAAAAGAAAGAGAATTTGTGCACCTGTGCAAAGCCGCAGCAAAATAAATGATATTTTTTCCAGAACTGACTAGATAAGTGTGTTTACCCCAAAATAATACAAAAACAATAAATAGAAAGCATCTTACTATTTCACTGGCTGCATTGTCATGAACGCATGACTCTTGTATGGAGACCCAAACCTGCAAAAAATTAAAAATAAATGAAAGAATGTAATAATAGGAACATAAATAATGGAATATATGGCTTGATAAAACAAATGCAATACATTTTAGTATGGTTTTCTTTCTTTCTTTTTTTGTATTTATTTGTAACTTTATTTGTTCTTTATTTTATCAAGTCATTTAATCCGTTCTTTATTTTCCTGTATTCATTCATTTGTTCATTTCTAATTTCTGCAGGTTTGGGCCTCCATACATTTAAATAATAAAAAAGTACACCATACATAAACAGACATTACATTTATTGAAATAGACATGCACGTGTTCTCTCTCATTAAACAGACCTTATTCAATGAAATTTAAAGACTATATATTTTAATTTTTGAAATATAGCCACAATTTTATTTTTTTGTTGAATAAAACAGTTAATATACAGTTTATAAAAAATACACAGTTAAATTAAGTATTAAAATAACCTCTGAAATGTATTTAAAAAAAATAGTAAAACATAAAATATGTTCCAAAAATAGCATTGCCTTGAATTCATTAAGAAACACTGGTGCAACAAATGCCAAAAAGTTGCACGTTTTCATATTGGTTTGAAAGTAAAACTGTTTTGTGTGACATAGTGGTCTGGTTCCCTTGCACAATGCCTGTTCTTATGGGCATTATGAGGTGGCAGAGCTCCTCGTCCTTCATGGTGCTGTGGTTAACATGGCCGACCTGTGGAAGTTCACCCCACTGCATGAGGCGGCCGCCAAGGGCAAATATGAGATCTGCAAATTGCTGCTTCAGGTATCCAAGGACTCTGATTGGCGTTTTTTTAATCATTTACATTATCGATGACAGCTGATTTTGTTTAGCGCCATGTTCACTACAATATAACAAAGTACCTCTTTGATATAGCATGGTGCTGACCCGACCAAAAAGAACCGTGATGGAAACACCCCTCTGGACTTGGTGAAGGACGGAGACACAGACATTCAGGATCTGCTCAGGGGTGACGCAGCACTGCTGGACGCCGCCAAGAAAGGCTGCTTATCTCGCGTTAAAAAGCTCTGCACTCCAGACAACGTGAACTGTCGAAACACGCAGGGGCGGCACTCCACACCGCTGCCCCTGGCAGGTAGGTGTGCATCAGAGTATGATGCTTTCATTTTCCACTGTGCACCAGGTACGAAATCAAGGATGTACGACTGGTTTTTAAGTGCAAAACCAGAATCTGGAGACCTTTTTAAATACTCTAGCTTAGTAAAACCTGCTACTTTTGTATTTTGGATTGGTTTTACAGAAAATAGTCATAAAAAATGGCTTGGTCTGTGAGTGTGAAGCGATGATTTCAGATGCTCACACAACAAAACTCTACAAAATGTTGCTTATTTAATTAGTTTAATTTTAATTAAGTAGCATTTAATTTGTTTTAGTCTGCGCTTTTCATACAATTTGCATAGAACTGTAAAGGGAAGACATTTAGGAAGCAGGAAGTATAAAGATATTTAGTAACTCCAACATGTTTTACAGTTTGTGAAAATGTACATTTAAATAAATGTAATTGATATTTGGTCCCTATTTTGAAAACCTCTTGTCTAATGTACATTAGCACAACCTTCATTTTTATTATATGCATATTTAACATTTCTGTGCGAATATAGGCTTCTTCTAATGAGGTTGAATATGAATAAATTGACTTTTAACTGAACTGTATGTGTCAGACTTGCACTGAACAAAACTGACTGAAATTTCAACATTTTGTGATCATGATTGTCCTATTCTAAGGGCACACGTGTTCAAGTAAAGAGTAAAATATGAAATATTTCATAAAAAAATGTTGGTGGTGTTTGTTTTATGTGTACGATTAGCTGGCTATAATAATCAGGAGGTGGCTGAATATCTGCTGCAACACGGGGCAGAGGTGAACTCTCAGGATAAAGGTGGTCTCATTCCCCTCCATAATGCTGCATCTTATGGGGTGAGTGATGCTCCAGTACATGTCCATTAACATGCTTGATAAAAGTTACATATATATACATGACAAAAAAAAACATATCTTACTCAAAACACCTTGTAAAGGGGATAAAAATGAATTGTTTTCTAAAACAGGTGTGTTTGTTTTAAAGTAATCTTTATTTTTGGTTGCTTTTGGTTTGATTTAAAGTCATGACCAACATGTCAAATTTGATGTAAATGTTGGTTTATATTGGTTTGTGTTGAATTTCATTATGTCACTTTTCTTTAAAAAAAAAAAAAAAGGGCAAAATCTGCATTTTGTACAACAGTTTGTTCTGGTCTGTTAATTTGATTGGTCAAGCTACATTCCAGTAGTTTAAAATTGCATATTAACATGCACACACACACACACACATGGAGTAATTGACAAAAGGGTGGTAATGTGGCCACAACCCAATGCACGTTACACAGCCCTTTAACAGCCAAGTCATACAATAGCTACATGTGAGGATCAGGCAAAAATTTCACTGACAGTCTTCACAGCTCTCATTTGTGCTTCAAACGTGGCACCACAAAACGCTACTGTCAAAGAAAGACATTCATAAGGGTTTGGAATGACATGAGGGTTTTTTTTGGGGGGGGGATTTTATTCAAAATTGTGCATGTGCCATGCCTCATCATATTTCATCATATTTCCCATTGGGAAAGGGAAAAGGTCCAGTGCTGTCTGACAGCCACACATAGTCATATTCATGCAGCGACATTCTCCAGAAAGTGAAAGAGACACCAACCCGAGAGCACGACTGCTCCATGTGTTTCATTGCAGCATGTGGATGTGGCCGCTTTGCTCATCAAGTGCAATGCATGCGTCAATGCCACAGATAAGTGGGCGTTCACTCCTTTGCACGAGGCGGCGCAGAAAGGCAGGACCCAGTTGTGCGTGCTGCTTCTTGCGCATAGGACCGACCCCACGCTCCGCAACCAGGAAGGCCAGTCGCCACTGAACCTCGTGACAGTATTCACTTTATGTGTGTGATTACTGGACAAGTCTCCTCGGGGGAAGAAGATCTGTCTTCCTCTTGCCTTCCGCTTATCTACCGTTCCTTTTATTTTCTGCAACTCTGATGCAGTTAAGCCTTCTTAATCCAAACCTCTGTTAATCATACCAGGGAGAATGTTCTCTTACTGTATTATGTCATAAATCTGTCTGTTTTATTTGGTTGCTGCTCTTCTTTTCATTTGTTCAGTGCTTGAGGAGGCTTACTGATCATTCCATGCACCACTGCCTGAAAAGACTGCACATTTGCACAAGCAGTGGATGTCTGAAGTGGAAAAATATGCCTGGAGAAAGATAAAGGGATAGATCAACCAAAAATGAAAGTTATCATTTATGCACTTTATGGCAATCCAAAGCTTTCTTCTGTAGAACCTAAAAGGAGACGAGAAGCCTGAGCATTCTTCGCTTTTTTAAGATTGTCACTTAAATGTACTTACTTTACAAATAAAAAATTCCCAACATAAAAAATAATAAAATGCCAAGAATTAAAAGGCATTTATCAGTAATACAGATGCCCATGAGTCATAAATTCAGCCCAACAATGGCTAGTGCTGATTATAATCGGAAATACATAATCGATTTACTTGCTAACTTACTTCAAATATATCAAATTAATTCAAGGACAAATATTTCTATTCTATTCCTATACCTAAGATATAATAAAAACTGAGTTGTATACAGAAATTTGCATTGCACATAAGGTCATTTTCATTAAGACATAATTTAATTAGTAAATAGGATCATTCAAATTAAGACATTTTTGTGATATTTAAAGAATTCATGTGTGACGTGCTACAAGATATATTGAAATATCACAAATAGCTCTGTACTAATTGCGTTATGCATATTCCAAGGGCTTGTGATAATGGATTGATTTTAGTGCTTTAGAAATGTTTATAATTTATATTAAATTCATGTAAATCATGTAAGTCGCTCTGGATAAAAGCGTCTGCTAAAAGACTAAATGTAAATGTTAAACATTTACATAGAAATAAATGTAAATCAATTTTTATACACTTAGAGCATTATCATATTGCATTATTTAACAAGTTACCACATTTCACTTTTTTTCTTATATTGTGAGAGAAGAACTGGGTCAGTTTTGGAAGATGACAGACTTTATTTTTACAAATAATTTTTGGTGTACTATCCCTTTAACCATGGATGCATGCCAACAGCTTGCTTGTTTGACACATATGTTCTCACTGGTTTTGTGTATGAATGTTTTCTTATTTGCGTTGTTGTTCCTGAACTCACGCTCTATGTGCTTGAGATGTGACTGACACTCACAGAAGTGTGTGACTACATGTGGGCTTGTCTGTCTCAAGAAGAAGTTGGTCGTCACTTACATTGTGACTTTCTGATGTTGCGCTGCCTGTCTCTCCAGGCAGACGATGTCCGAGCTCTCCTCACAGCAGCCATGCCCCCCTCAGGGCTGCCGGTGTGCTATAAACCCCAGGTTATCAGCATCTCTGCGTCTGTGGCGGTGGTGCCGTCGACTCTCAACTCGAGTCCAACACCGCTCTCTTCAAACTCCAGTATGGCTGGCCAGTCCGGGACCTTCCCTGAGCTAAACACTCTACTACCGCCTTCTGGAGCTGAAGGAGACGTAGGCATAGAGTTGAAAGAGGAGGGTGGGTTTAGTCAAGATTAGTGTAGTTTTGCTTGATGCATGCATTTGATGACTGCTGAAAGTTTTCTTTAACCTGATGCTTTTTTCAGATCTAGCTGTAGAGTTGAGTATCAGCCAGTTCCTTCACAACCTGGGATTGGAGCATTTGCTGGAGATCTTTGACAGAGAACAGGTACTTTCTTCTGTTTCAATGCTTATCACAGTTGAGATCAGCTTGTTTTGAGTCCGAGCCCAGGCTGAGTTCACGACAAGATAAATTGACCTCCAGGACAGTGTTTAGCAGGCTGACTGAAATGTTGAGATGTGCTAGAGGAACACGCTGTAGAGTAATCACTCATTTGATCAGTGGGCGTAATACATTAGTCATATGCCTAGAGGTGTGATATTAATACGAGTCTGTGTCAATAGATAACTCTGGACGTCTTGGTGGAAATGGGCCACAAAGAGCTGAAGGAGATTGGCATCAAGGCTTACGGTCACAGACACAAGATCATCAAAGGAGTGGAAAGACTTATTAGTGGTCCTCGGAGTAAGAGCTGCTTCTCCTTTCATCCATTTGAGAGAATCCTTAATTAGAGACAGGGTTTAAGGATCACTTTGATCTTGTTTCCTCTAAGATCTCTGCTTAACATTGGATGTTTTTCTCAGTACAAGCTGCTTTATTAAGGGGGTCATATTATACATTTCTTAAAGTTTATTTATTTGTCTCGAGGTCTACTTAGCATGTAAGCCTGTTTCCGCCACTGAATTAAAAAAAAAAAAAGGTAATTCGCAATTTTGACTTTTTTTCTCAGAGCTGCATGATATAAATTCACAGTTCTGACTTTTTTCTAAGAATTGCAAGATATAAACTTTGCAATTGCGTGAAATAAACTCAAAATTGTGAGATATAAATTCACGTTTCAAACTTTTTCTCAGAATTGCGTGATACAAACGCACAATTGCGAGTTTATATCTTATTAATTATATCTTATTAGTTATAAAGTCCAATTCTTTTGTTATATTAGACAGAATTGCAAGATACAAACTTGCAATTCTGAGAAAAATTAGCAATCTCGCAATTCTGACTTTAAAACATGCAATTGCGAGTTTCTGAGAAAAAAAATCAGAATTATTTGTTCATATCACAATTGTGACTTTCTCAGTACTGCGAATATATCTCACAGTTCTGACTTTTTTCTCACAATTCTGAGAAAAAAGTCAGTATTGCAAGACGTAAACTTGCAATTGTGAGAAAAGAAGTCAGAATTGTGAGATAAAAAGTTGCAATTACCTTTTTTATTTGTTATTCATTGGTGGAAATGGACTTCCATAACTTATGTAAATAATGTTAAAAAGTTTTTTTAACACCAAAAGTCATTTACTTTTATTTTCCACCCTCTCTCTGAGCATTCAAATTAAATGTGATGTTGTTTTTATGCTGCACATTTAAAGTTTCTTACTGTGCTTTAATTTTCAGCTAATATTAAAGTATGTGACTTAATTGCAGTTAGTTCAATTAATTAATTGGCATATTATGTGAATGAAAAATTTATTGACAGCTCTAATACCAACTAATGGTACAATAACTACAGTTTTTTTAATTCTTGCTTTTCTTGATTTCTCATAATATGACCTCTTTAACGATCAAGCTGAAGCTTTTGTTTTGCAGATTAGTTTGCACTTAAACGTTTACATCCCCTTCACAGGTTTAAACCCTTACTTGACCCTGAACACGACCAACAGTGGAACAATACTGATAGACCTCTCTCCAGACGACAAGGAGTTTCAGTCAGTTGAGGAGGAGGTAGAGATGCTCATTTTATGAAATGTTTTCATGTTTATCAATTTTCTCATTGTGCGTCATCTGTCTGAGCCCCTAATCACAGTCATGTTATCTAAAAGTGTTCCAGGAGAATCTAGTAATGGATGTACATGTTCAAGCACACAGACTAGTGCCACGTAGCTAATTATTGAAACACCAAGGACGTACTGTGTTTACTAGGGTTCTCTTGGCTCTTCTGTTTCGTGTCTCTGAACAGATGCAGAGTACGATTAGGGAACACAGGGATGGCGGTCATGCGGGTGGGGTTTTCAACAGATACAACATTGTGAAGGTAAAAGATCTGAATGCCTCACTTCATATTTAATTTTTTATTTTTTCCTATTAAGCTAGTTTCACAATTTAGTGGCTCTGTTTCCACACTGTTCCCCTGCCACTGCAGGTCTCTTTTCACATTGCATTACTTCCAGGGTTTCCAACAGGTTGAATTTATTTCTCCTGTAGCTCAAAGTAGAGCATGTCACTAGCAATGCCATGGTCATAGGTTCAGTTCTCAGAGAACTAATGAAAAATGTATACATTCAATGCAATGCAATTCATTTTGGATAAAAGCTGCTAAATGCATACAAGTAAATGTATAATTGTGTAGTGAATATAATTTTTTTTACTTATAAGCTATTGCAAAATATTGCCTATTGTTCTTTTTTCTTTGTAAAATTATTCATGTTTAATTTGTGAGCAAATCATACTTTTTTTCAATAATTTTGTTGAATCCCATTACTAGCAGTTAACTTCAGGAAAATTACAAAGTCAATACCTTTACAGTGTTTCACTACATTCATTCTGCCATGATGGGCCGCCACACCTTCTCAGTGACATCATAGTGGCGTGGGATTTTGCATAATTCTACTCATTCCCGCAAGTTTCGCCCTTATAACGTGACGACAGATGACGGAATGTATCATTTGCACGTGCTTTAAAGTCTTGCTAATTTAAACATTCAAGCGACTTTAAGCCATTCAAGAGCAAAAAACGTGAAAGAGAACTTAATACAGTACTCGCTCGCTCTCTTATAGACCGTTTTCTGTGCACCCAAAGCACATGCGTATCTGAAACAGCACGCAACTGCAGAATTGAGTTATGTTTTGCGCCTTATTGTGCATAAACGGCCAAATACATACAATAGTATGTCAAAATGCCCATCTTGGCAAGTATTCACTTAAACAAAGTCGGTTTATATTAAACATAAACTGTATATAAGTGAATGTAAACCATTGAGAAGCAAAACGCAAGTGTAACAGTATATTAGATCCGTGCATGAGGTCTTAAAGAGACAGCACCTTAAATAAACCTGCTGTCTGTCATCATTACTCTTTAATTATACAGTGAAGACTATCCAGTGTTATTTTACAGTCGAATCCTTTTTTTTGTTTGTTTTTTACAGTTGAGTTCAGTTCCTGTAGTAATTCTGTAACTTTATTACTGTTAGATCTACGTCTGGAAAACATAAAGTAGTTCATTTCAGTTAATTTCTAGTTATTGGTTTTGTTTGTGTTATTGCTTGTCAT